TTAGTTTTTTCGAATTTTGTTATATTGTTGAAAAAATCGAGTTTTTCTTCATTTAATCACAAAATCAAATAAAAGCATGAAAAATGTGCCTGTATTTAATGGTTTTTGTTAGTATGGTTTAGTTAAAAAGTCAAATGGATAGCATATTCGCAATCAATGTGAAAAACTATGTTCTAAATTTTTTTGACTAGAAAACATTGACTTATGGGGCAGAATTTTACAAACAAAAACCTGAGGAGACGACAACTCGATTTTTCGTAGAGGAAAAAAGTTTAAAACATAGATAATTCGATGGAGTTTTTGATGTTAATTGTGAATATGCTATACATTTTGTTTGCCCAATCTTTTTTTTTCTGTCCTATAAAATGACCTGATTGCTTTTCGAGTTTATATATAGAAAACAACATGAAGAACAATATTTGATAAACTACTAGTACAAGAATATATTTTGTCATCTTAAATATCGTATATCATAATGTTATGATTGTGGATGATGATTAGAAGAAGAAATCTATTTGATATTGATTTATTATTTTTCTTTCAGATCCAAAAGAAAAATATGATGTTGGGAGTAGTGAAGGTAAGATTGATCTGAAAATGTTTTTAATACCTTGAGGAAGAAGTGTATTCGAAGGACAATTTTTATTCTGTATTCATATGTCTAAAGTAATCATTTGAATAGTTTCATAATGAATAGGTCCATGGTCTTTTTTTTTAAATATTCATTTTTTTAGATTAATTTTTAATGGCTTCTAACTATACAAATTCTGATTCAACAGAAAATATAACTGAAACATCATCATCAACAACAAAAGATGATTTTCTTAATGAAATATTAATGTGTGGTATATGTTTATCTCGTATGTCATCACCATATTGTTTACCACGTGCACATTCATTTTGTCGCTCATGTTTACTTGATTATGCTCAAAATAATAATAATACATCAACATCCATTAATTTTATCCTTTGTCCATATTGTAAATATCAATTTAATTTTCGTTCATTTGAACATTTTGAATCAATATTAATTATTAATCCTGTACTTAAACAACTTTGTGAAGCATTAGATACATCAAAAATTAATTCTGATCAACAACAACAACAACAACAACAAAGTCAATCATATGGACTTTATCGTGCACGATGTCATACATGTTGTTTACTTAAAATGTTAAAAAATATGTAAACATTGTTATTTTATGCTTTGTCATACATGTCGACGAACACATTTATTCCCTCGACTGAAGGGAGGGTCATACGAAAAAAACTCAAAAGCGTTTGTGGCGCGCGGAGTTTGTGCCAGGTCAAAAGAACACAAAGGTCAAAAAAACATAAGATCACCAAATCGGACTTTCACTCTTCGAAACTATCCAATCAGAAGTATTCGACCCCACGCTTTCGACCAATCAGATTCTTTCAAGCTAAAAAACCGTCCAATCAAGAGTTTTCGACCTCGCGCTTTCGACCAATCAGATTTCTGCAAGCTAAAAAA